GTCACCTATTGTCTGTCTCCAGCCATTGATTCTTAGAGTCCCGAGGGCCCCAACCCGGAAGTCTGCATCTCCCTACCTGACTCAGTTTAACTGTCAAGGATTTCATGGATTGATGAGGCCATGTTTTTGTTTGGCCACCACTTGCTCTTTTCCAAGCTGCACCTAGTAATGCCCGTCGGGGGAGGCGATGGTTAGGCATTCGCAGCACGTCACCTAGCCATCTCAATCTATATAACTTTATAGCCTCTTCAATTGATTTTCCCTCTTTGTCCAACACTCTACGTCTAACATCAACATCACCTACCTTATTATACCACCTAACGTGAGAAAGAGATCGTAGACATCTATGATCAAAAACAGTCAACCTTTTCATGTCTTCAACTCGTATTGGCCATGTTTCAGAGCCAGCCATAGAGAAGGACGGAGCGAACTGCTGAGCAGTAAACACGTCCCTTTGTTGATAGCCGGATGTATCGCCTACGCCACAGATGGTGTAAGTTAGCGAAAGCAGTTCGAGCTTTTTGGATCCGTGCTGAGATTTCGTCACCAATCAATCCGTTGGTGCTGATACAACTTACCGAATAGGTGAAGTGGTCAACATGCTCTATCACTTCACTCCCTATCACTAAGCTAGGAGTTGACGTAGTCCAGTCCCCTAGTCACCATTCATCAGACATCTTGCGATTTATTCCATGTCTGATCACTGATTGATATCAGTTAAAAAACCACTGGAAATCAGGGGGAACTGGAAAGTTGTTTCGCCCAAGTTTGGTACTCATCGCCAGTAGGCAGCCGTCGCTAGGGTTAGAGTCCAGGACCTTCCGGTTAAGATTCTACTGTCTCGTAGACTATTAAACCACTGGAACCCCACTCAACGGTTAGCCCTCACTAACTCACACCGCACCCGTAACGAATTCTCAGTGGAACGTCAAGGAACTTCTTCCCGTATCCAATCATTAGCGAGTTGATGAGTTGCAAACTAGTACGAAACAGCTGACTATCTAGTTTTCAATGGTTCTCTAACTGATATCAGATATATGTAGTCACGCTTTAAAGAACTCGAATCTCCACAAACCAGCTGTTAAAAGTCTTGAGATTTTTTCGGAGTAGCACAGCAAAACAAAAGAGAAATTGAGGGAAAACCAATGATTACTCTCCCTACTCTTTGTATAATTCGGTCAAGTATTCATTGAACACAGTTTAGACAGAATAAAAACGACAACTGCAGTCATTTAGCTGGTCATTAATTCCCATATATATATATATATATATATATATAAATTAAATTTGCTTCACTTAACCCAGTCTACCTACTCTATTTTTGTTTCATTTTACCTTTGTCCTTAAGAAAAAATAAAAGAGATTTCCGAGTTGTTGGTCTTATTCCCCTCTCTCCATCACAATACTTATAAGTGATTAGGCTTTTTTTGGTTTAACTTTGTACAAGCCTCTTCAAAAGCGAATATTCTGTTACTAACATAAATGTAGAGGTCACAAGTTCAGTTACAAAATAAAAAAGGAGAAGAAAATGAGGTGAAAGGAGGGAGAGACATAGAAAGAGACAAAGCGGTACACACCACAAAACTGTCATTGAAAATGTTTCACTCTTTTTTTAATTGTAATTTTAATTGAAAAACAGATTACTTAAAAGACCGCCTTTTTCTTTCTCCTGCCTATTTCCATTTCACCCTAATTCTTCTGCTATTTTGCGTGTTGTTTTTTTCACACACATAGTGGGACAGGGATAGTGAATTAAGTAAGTTTTGTAGAAATTCACAAAGCAATAGAGTATGTCATTTGTTTTTTTCCATTGTGGACATTTATCTTATGTCATGTCATGCAGCGGTTTGGTTAATCACTACCCCTTTGTTTTAAATCTAAGTGATAACTATGTGTGGTTGTGCTTATTTTACACATCTATAGGAAGGTATGACCTTTTATGTCCCTTTTTTTAATACATACATATTTATCTGTCATCTTTGATCTTCACCCTGTCTTTGTTGTCGTCGTCTTATCATAGTGTTGGCAATTCAGCATACTAAATTAATTTCAATACTTCAATGGAATATGAATTTTCAAGTATTGGTTTTGTAAGTATTTTCTTTGATTGGTTGGAGGATTTCATTGTGAGCTGACGTCAGTTAGAGAACAACTGGAACTCCTGGGAGTACTGGACAGAGGTTTTATCCTAGTTTGGGACTCTTCATCAGCACCCAGGACATTCTGGTTACAAGGCAAACTAGCTCGTGGACCATTCAGCAGCCACTGCGACCCGATCCAATGGCCAGCCCATGAATTCTAACTTCTGCCAATTCGTGACAAGCCGCGACCACTTCGCAATGTCTTGTTCGATGAGTTACTGCCTCATCTTCAATGTGCTGTACCCTACTGGTGACGGCTTCCCACTAGAACCCCAAGTTAACTGCATGAATAGGGTCAGTCACTAGTATATGTATTTGTTAAGTGTTGCTTCGCAGGGATTTGGTTAGCTACAGGTTTGATCGGGAACTGAAATCAGTTATAGAACCATCGGAAAACCTGGGAGTACTGAACAGCCTTTTCGTCCAAGTTCGGCACTCTTCAATAGTCCGCACCTACTGCCAGGGTTGAAACCCAGGACCTTCCAGTTACAAGGCGGGCTGGTAGACCATTCAGCCACTGGAACTCGACCCAGCGGTCCATGAATTCTATTTTCTGCCAATTCGTGATGTATATATATATATATAATAGCTTGATTCCACACCGTACTTTTGGTACAACTATGGAATTTTCAGCATGCTATATCAGTAGCTCAAATTTTGCAGGCCGACCACTGATATCAGTTGTGCATTGGCCGGAGATCGAATCATGGAACATCTGCATGGTCGGAAAGCGTCTCAACTGCTATGCCACTGATGTAACCACCAGCCAATGGCGCGAGAGAGTTAACGTCCTCTTGTCTGATTTGATGGACCGCGATGGTCACGACGTCGCACTACAACCCTCAGATAACTTCCTGTACCAAGTGTTGGTTTGCAGGGATTTGATTGGTTACTGATTGGATCAATGAATTTTGAGTGATTAGCTTTTCAAGTAAATCTAATATCAAATCTTATTGCTAAATAATCAAGGAAGACGGGATTATCATCAGTATTCTTCAGTAACATTCAACTGGTTTTATTGGCTGAATGAACAGGCGTTTATTGACTACATTGAGGCAAATGTTGAGACAAACAGCACTTAGCACAAAAGAAACGCGATCTCAAGTTTTTTTCAAAACTAATCATAACGAGTGTTTCTATTCGATTCAGAGACAGTTTAAGATGCACTGACATCCTTAAAGATTTCATGAAGATCTAATCTTGGCTAGCTCGACACTGAAGACTAGACATAGTCAGCAACAAGGAGCTGTAACAGCAATCTATCAAGTATTTATTACTATAAATATATATGTAGTAGGAGAAGGAAATAAGGTTCACTTAAGTAGTGGAGATATTCGAGTGGCATCATACTTCAGGACTTTGAGTTTGCCGTGGGTTATAGGCGGACATGTAGAAAAAATTATGTGACGAGGAAATAAAAAGTGTGGTCAGCTGTGGAGCTAAACGAGGGAGAGATGGTAGAGAACCGTGTGGAGTGAAGATGCTGAGCCATGCGATGAATAATAATAAACATTTGGCTGGTATCAGAAATCCTAAGGAGATTTATCCAGCGATTTTAAACTTACGAAAACACTCATATATTACTATCATATCGGTATAGTACTTGAAAAATTACGAGTACTGGTCAGCAGGATTAGCATATTAGTTACCGGATGGCATCGTGAACTGACCCTGGTTAAAAAACCAGTGGAAAACCTGGGAGTACTGGACAGCTATCTCGTCCTAGTTTGGGCCTCATAGGCAGTACCGCCTACCTCAGCGGTTTGAACCCAGAGGCTTTCGGTTATGAAGTGAGCTCGTAGATCATTAATCAGTCACTGGGACAAGATCCAATGGCCAGCCCACTAATTCCAAATTGTGTCGATTCATAATACGGCGCCAACATTAAACAATGTCATCGGCGAGTTTTTGTCCTCACGCTCAACCTTCTGTACCGTGCTGGTTACGAATTCCTAATAGAACCCACGAAACTACCTACCTGAGTGACCATTCAATTGATATCCAACTATTGGTATTCAAGACCCCACCCGTTGGATCGAGTTCCAGTGGCTGCTTAATGGTCTACGAGCTTGCCTCAAAACGCTAAAGTCCTGGGCTCGGACCAGTGAGGTATGTGGTACTGTCCATGATATCCAAACTAGGACGAAAGAGCTGTCTAGTACTCCCAGGTTTCCCAATGGTTCACTAACCGATATAAGTTTATGTTGCCATCCAGTAACCAATCAATCAAATCCCTACAAATTAATACTTGAAAATTAGTCTATGCTAGTTGTTTTCTTAAAGCATAAATGAGTATTCCTTTTGTCATTTTACGGAAAACCAAATCTTTGGAAACAATTACATGACAATCACAAAGATACCAATGAAAGATAGTCACATTTCAATTTCATCTAATGTATTACTGGAATTGACTCTGGGGCTAAAAATAGAAACCCCAGTCATAAAAATAATCCGGGTCAGGAAGTAATCAAACCGCAAGATAAAATCGGCAGTCAAAGTAGCAGACTTTCATCAATGTATGAATTGGGAGGATTTCCACTTTTCTGCCATTTCGCCCTAGTTCTGAAGACTCATCTAGTAAACCTTCAGTTTATTATATTATGCAATGCAGTTTTTTTATTTCTTGCGTTTCAAGTAGGACATAGGGCTTCAGTAAGAGTCATTGGACTCACTCCTTACCTCCCCTCTTTCTTGAATTACTAACGGTTAGTAAAATAGTCGAGGAATCGGACGACTTCACTCAGAAATCAAACCCTCGATCTCTTAATTGACTGCCGTTGAACCACCAACGAACGCACAGAGTGAACAGAAAAATACAATTTGGTAAAACCTAATGAACATAAGCCAATGTAGACTAACCTCGATGTCGACTGGTCGCCTTGTCCATCATCAGTTCACATGTTTCCACCTGAAAATTAGCAAATATAAATGACAGGTCAGATGTAAGAAATGTTAGTCAAAACTTATTGAGTAAATTTTCACACAACTCTGTTCACTAAATAAACTGTAATCGGATGGAGCAGTGTTTAAGCATTGAATGAAACTGCAAACATCCAAACTAAATATACGTAATTCTGTCTTACTTGCTTTTTCTGGAAAAGATCCACTAAATAGTGGAAGCGTTGTGGATGGTTTATGAAGGACTCAAAAAGAAAAAAATAAATTTAATTTTTAACGAATGTAATCAATTCGACCAGTCAAGCAGAAAAAGAAGTCAGACAACGTTTTTTTAGAAAAATGCAACCGTGTGGTTAACAAACAGCTGGTGCTTAAAATTAAACTCAGCAGCTGAGACACAATATTCATACTATTTCTTAAGTTGTGTAAATGACAGTCTTATAGTGGATGGACTGATCGAGTGCCTAATGATGTAGGCTTGTTTAAAACTTGGGCACTGTGGTATTACGTTATTCAATATTAATTTGTTTATAAGATATGTTACAGGATGAAGCAGTATTACCTACTGGGCGACGATGTTTCGAACACAATTTACAGTTCATAAGCCTATCGACTGGAAATACACAACTTTGAAATTTTTTGTTTTATAGATTCGTTTATTGTTTCCTATTCGTCGTTGTAGGGCTATTAGTATTCTACATATTTCCTAGTGGACAGGTGATGAATTATTCCTGTTACACGCATTTTCAATTGACTCGATAAATAAAGCTTCTGTTATCAATCTCTCTCACCTTCCACTCTGTTATATTAGATTTTAAAACTGTCATCTTATTCCATCCTCTTGTATGGTTGTGTGCAACTGCATGTATTAAGTGCTGTAGATGAACTATTCCCCAAATTTCGTATCCCATAAGCGTCAACTAATCTAGATTTCGCTAGATTTTTGTGCTCTGTTAGTCTGACTGACCCCGTTCTACTACTTTTACTTATGCATTTTACCTGAGTGTCAATGTAGGCAGGGTATTAGATAAACTAAACTGTTTTGTTTAATTGGTTCCACAGGATTGATCCTTTAACCGACAAAGCCTCTTTCTGATTGAGTTTGTCGGTTTGAATGCCGCAACAATAAGGAATTTAAATCATCAGTAGTAATTCCATACAAAGAAGGAACCTCGGAAACTTTACGTAGAGTTCTTAACAATGCTGGAATAAAAGTGGCTGGCACTTAAACGCCACACAAACCTCATTAGAGACAAGCTTAGTCATAGAAAGGATCAATCCTGTGAAGCCTTTAAAACAAAACAATTTAGTTTATCTAATACCCTGCCTGCAATGACTGTCAGGTAGAATACATGCGTCAGAGTAGTAGGACGGGATTAGTCAGACTAGTGGAGCATAAAAACTTAGCAAAATCTAGGGGATTCATGCATTTATTAAATTTGAATCAAGCAAGAACAACAATTTATGGAAAATAAAATGGTACCATCATTGTTTATTTTATTGGCTTCACATCAGATGCTTACAGCCTAAATACATCACTATTAAGTTTATGTACAGAAACAATTTTAGCATACGTACTCAGAGAGTCCAAGTCTAAACAAAAAATCAATTTATGCTTAGAATAGTAATATTAATAATAATAATCATTTTATTCCAAACAACAATAATAATAATCATACAGAATGGAATTTTTGACGTTGCATAATCAAATAAAACTTGAATTTTCAGATTAAGTGAACATAGATAAAACAGAGGTGATGAAGATTCCTGGGCAAGAACAACAACAACAAAAGACAACGATCAGCATAAATGGAAGGAACCTGAAAGGAACAACCTACTTCGACTACCTACCTGGGAAGCATCGTTTCAACTACAAGCGGAACTGACAAGGATATCAAAGCAAGAATCGGAAAAGCAGGACAAGCTTTCACTACTCTCGAGTCTGTGTGGAAGTCAACAACACTCAGCATCAAAAAAAAGATCCGGATTTTCAACTCCAATGTGAAGTCAGTGCTACTATACGGGTCGGAGTTTTGGCGCGTCATAAAGAGCATCTCAAATAAACTAGATACCTTCATTAACAGTTGTCTTCGCTCAGTACTCAAGATCAGATGGCCGGCCAGAGAAGATCAGCAACAGAGATCTCTGCCAATGAGCGAACCAACTGAGCAGGAACCGATTGTGAAACAAATAGGCAAGAAGAAATAGAGATTGGTTGGCCATACTCTGAGGAAACCATCAAGTGAGTGACATCACTAGACAAGCCATTGCTCGAGTGGTACCCGACTGAAAGGGAAGCGGCGAGTTGGTCGTCAGTGCAAGGGTGACTTGGAGGAGGTCATGTAAAGAGGAGATGAAAACGTGTGGGCAAACTTGGAGCCAGGTGAAGATTCTAGCAGAGAACCGAACGCAATGGAGACGCACGGCTGAAGCCCTATGTTCCTCTAGGAATTAAAGGATACAATAATAATATTCATATAATGTTAAGATTGTTTCTGTACATTAACTTGACAATATCTTTGTGGCCGTAAACAGCTGATAAGCAGTCAAACATATAGACGATGATACCATCTCATTCTGTACAAACTATTGCTCTTGCTTTATTCGAAATCTAGCTTAGTTGACCGTACTAAGCTGAAGAATCTGGAGAATAGTTCAGGTATAGCACTCACTAGATCCAGTTACATACAACATTTCAACAGGATGTTTGTTGTAAGATGACGATTTTGAAATCTAATATAACAGGGTGGAGAAAGAGAAAGAAATTGATAACCGATGCTTTAGGTGTAGTCTTTATCTCAACATGCTTGACTTAACTCAGGAGAAAAGGGGTATAACGTTCCTAACCGTCCGATACTGGCGAATTCACATGAAAAATCGATCAATCAGGTAAAATACTGGAATGGTGAACTTTACAAAATATGCAAAAAATATTTATTTTTCTAAAGTTGGTTTGTAGGGGTTAGATTTGTTTTTACCAGTTGATCACGGATTGATATCAGCCAGAGAACCATGGAAAACTACCATGGAGTACTGGACAGCTGCTGTTTCATCCTATTTCGGGGATCATCGCCAGTACGCACCCACTGGAGTTCGAACCCAGGGCCTTCTGGTAACAACACAAGCTCGTGTAACATTCAACCATGCGCACTCGATTCAATGGCCCATGAAATCTAAATTCTACCAATTCATGATTTAGCACGACCCTAACTCGAAAAACAAAACTCATCTTTACGAACCAACTCTTGAAAATTATTCTGACTTGCCGCAGAACGCAGTTTCCTGGAGTTCCAGTGAGAAGTCGTGACCAGCAGTGAGGTCCATCCAGTCGGGAGTAGGAATGAATGTGTCACCGATGACATTGGTTGGTGGTCGTGCTAAATCACGAATTGGTAGAAGTTAGAATTCACCGGCTGGCCACTGAATCGGGTCCCTTTGGCTGAATGGTATACTAGCTTGCTTTGCAGCCAGAAGGTCGTGGTTTCGAACCCTGATGGCGGGTGCGTACTGCCAATGTTTCCAAACTAGGATGAAACAGCTGTCCAGTACTCCGTGGTGGTTTTCAATGGTTATTTAACTGATATCAATCCGTGATCAACTTCTAAAAATGTTTATTTAGCTAAAGAAACTCTGATTTTTAATTGAATTTTAGATTGTCCTGTCGATTGATTGGACCGAAGTGCTCGGTCTCAGGTTGACATGTCTGTCGGCTTCTTGTGCAGATGCTTCGACGATGTCTGGGCATTTAATTAGTATTTAATTGGTGGATGGTGACTAGCAGGGGAATCCACGACAATTCACATTTCGTCCTATTTGGGAATCGTCATCTGTGTGTACATGCATTTCTCAGTGAGTGATGATGTTCCCACCTAGGCTCGAACCCAGTGCACAAGTGGTCTAGTGGATAACGCTTTGGCGTTTGAAACTATGAGTACTGGGTTCGAGCCTCGGTTGGAACATCATCACTCACTGCGGAATGCAGGTACATCCAGCTGACGAGTCCCAAATGGGACGAAATGCGCGTTGCCCTGGATTCCACTGCTAGTTACTATCCACGAATTAAACTCTGATTTCACTTATTCCATAGGTTATGATAATTTTAAACATTCATAACGTCTTTTTCATCAAAAGTTAAGTTTGCTAAACGTAGTTGCCTAAGTGATTGACAAATTAGATATGTGAAATCCATGACAAAAGTGTTCTGATCCCAGTGAAATTTAATTCACTCGTATGGCTCATTTTCTTCATTCTCGCACAGTTCAGTGGACAGTTATAGAAGCCGCCTACTATATGCAAGCAGTTCATATTTATCGTACTTCGAGTCGCACATAAAAGTTGAACCTTACGATGTTAATCTCCTGCCCTAAAGATAATCAGTCATAATCCATTGACAATAAGTTAAGTTCTACAGTTACATATATACATAACTGCTGATGAATTAGTGATATTAACAACAACAATAATGTTGTTTAAATGACATCGAATCAATAATGATAATAATATCAATGGATTACAGTTCAATAGCATCAGAATAACAGTAGACTGAACATCAGGTAGGCAAATTAGGAAAGATAATAATATAAATTCATGAATTTGTCGTCTCCACTGAAGGCCGGCTAGGGTAGTAGAAGTGTCTAGATTGGACTGGCTTCTGTTGCATACAAAGCCCTGGTTCTTTCACTCGAATCTCAATAGCCTCTACTGTTTGGTGCATGTGTTACATGGGTGCTTTTGGTTTTTACTACACCTTTACTTAACCATACTGGGAGTTGTTCCCAAGCGAGCACGAAAAATCAAGTTCTTTGAGAAACAGCCAATAGAACTCGACTCACCAAAAGCTCAGTTGGATCGGAAGATACAATTAGAAGTGGCTAGTCTAGGTACTTTATCTTTCAATCGAGGAATCAACATCGGTTGTGTTTAGTAAGCATTCTTTTGGGAGTATTTTTAATGGGCATTTTTAATCAATTAATAAGTCAAGTGTTTACACGTAATGGTCAGGTTTTAGGG